TCAGCCCACGGTGATGCACGTCAATTCGCACTGGTGTGTGAACTTTGATTGAAAATAATGGTTGCGGGTGTTTTGACTTGCATCCAATGCCACCTGTGTGCAGTGCCCTTCAGTTTAAAGCTGCCTTTGATGTCCTCTGAGAGATCTTTCAACCCTTAACACATACAATGAAAGATTCCATCATGGTGCACAAGAGCATCCCGTACATTGTATAATTACAGTGTAAATGATTTTTAAAGTATTCACTCCTGTCAAAAAGGTTCTTGTCAGTCAGTGGCACCTGCAGAATTATATTTCATAATACACATAAGAAATGCCTGCCACCATGAGGAACAAATATTTTGTTATAAGGAGAATGCTGCATATCCTGTGAACTACTGGATGGTGCTGCACTGTCCTGCACAGCATTTATTTCAGTCCCTTCTGCTTTAACACAATCACTTAGCCAATCCAATGGTCTCACTGAAAAGAAGGAGGAGCAATCGGTTTTTAATTCAGTGCTAATATTAGTCTAAACACCTTCGGTGTCTAAACAACCTTTGGTTTTGCTGCTAAAGAGGAAGCGTCCTCACATGATGTCAAAGTGCACCTGCAACACAAAAGTACATGTATATAAGAGGGTTGAGAAGTAGTCAGAGTGACAGTTCACAATAAAGTTAATGGGCAACAACTCATCGTGTCACTATGATTAATGCGACATTTGCTGGATTTGTGGTAAATCTGAGGGCCTATGACTGCAGTATTTTGGGGTGTGCTAATGAGACCCATGTGCTTTTGAAGTCTTTTTCTGTGTTCAGTTCAGGCCTCAGCTCATTAAAACCACCAGTAACACAGACAATGGCTGTCAGATGACGGGAAGGAATTTGTCCTGTACCACAACCTGTTTGATGGCATCTAGATGTCTTCACTTATCTTCTTTTGGTTTATTTGTTTCTTTGGGCTAAAAGCATGTCTGGAGCTCTTTCACTGTTTTGTTAATTGCTTGCAGGCAGCAGGGTGGTAACCCAGACTGATTATTATCTGTGAATTAAAAGTCATAGCGTAAACCAGAAAGACACGTAGACCAACTTATTATCACATGCTTGATTGCATTCCACAAGATAAAAAAGTTTATCTGCAACCATAAAACAGAGAGCGGCTTCAGCTGCTTTTCTCTGTCCTCTCACATGTCTGTTTTAATCAATCCAGTTGTCTACATGGTCAAAAAGGAGCAGAACTGACACTTGATCAATACTACACATAGGGCAGGCCAGGAAGCATGTTTTTACGCTAAAGTCTGGGTTTCTAGGTTTTAACTTACAGTACAGTGGTTTGTGTATCTGGCTCTAAATATATTGGAAACACAGGTGTCGTCCAGTACTAAGTAAAACCCAACCAGGATGGTATGGTGGATCCCAATAGTGGTACCTTGTACAAAATAGGAGGAAAAACAGAAGGGTCCAGACAACGGAGACTTCAATGGGGAGAGATCAATTAAGAGTGCAAAAAAAAGTTTTTTTTTAGGTTGAATACAGGAGGAGGATTTGGGGATTAGACCCCATTGTGGAGTGCTTCTCCAAACAGGAAGTCTAGAGCAGAAAGAAGATACTATATGTAGATCCCCCTGGGTCTAGTACATAATGTTTTTCTGACCGAATGTTCTCAAACCATTTCCCTGATGTTGTCCAAACAAATTAGAATTATGAGCCAGGTGTAAGCAGATCCTAAAATTGAGAACAATCCAAAACAGGCCAGAGTCAAACAGGGAAAATAGAGAGCCAAAGTACAGCAGGGCTGGGCAGAATCAAGAAGCCAGAGGCCACAAATAAAGTCAGCCAGCACAGGCTTTCAAGTGTCAGGAACAGGCTGGAGAGGTTTGCTCAACAGGCCTTTTACTTAGCAGGCATTTTGACATAGCATAGTAGAAAAAGCACCGGTGTAATTGATAACACTCATGATGGCTGCATTTCCATTTGAGTCATTTCTGGTATCATGGTATTATGTAGGCTTGTCGAATGGCATTGCTTAGTGGGAAACGTAATGTACCTAAGCCATTGTTATTGTTGTTAGCTACACCTGTGCCTTTTCTACTGTGACAACTCAAAATGTCTGCTGTGAGCAAAGTCTGTGGTCAAAGATTATTTGAGAACTGACTGAAGACTGAAGAGGACAGGTTTTATAGGCAGGGACAATGAGACACAGGTGAAATCACTCAGCAAATGAGCTGAGTCAAGTTGAAGTAGAGGACATGTTCAGAGAGCGGATCTCTCTCAATAATAAAAGTCTCAACCCAGAAATCAGTGATGGAGCATGACAGTATTTGGGTGGATGCTTAAAAGCATCCACACTATGTTATTGATCGTATTGTTTTCTTAAGACTGAGGACAAAGTGATGTGATACATGTAATGTTTCCACACCTTATCCAGTGCAGGGGTTTTACTGCTTCAAGTTCAGGATAAAAGAATTGATTTGTTATTACAGTGCATATATTAGTGTAGATACTGCTATCTCATTTGTTTGGTGTTCTAGGCAGTTTGTGATTATATAATGACACCGTTATTACAGTTTATTTAAAAGATCTCACATTTTATGTCATACTCAAGACAAAACTAATGCTATATCATCTACTAATAAATGTCACTGTTAAGCTGTTCTTTTTGTCCGGTGCATAGCCTCAGTGGCTAGCTGAAGACTGTAATGATAGTTCAGTGTATAAAAGATATCTTGATCTCATTGAGATTTCCTGAATGAATAAATAAAGGTTAAGCAGCTACCCAGCTAGGAATTTTTTGCTCCAAGAACGTTCCGGTTACTTTCCAGTTTTTTTAGAAAAACGTTATTTTGGAACGTTCCAGTGATGTTTTCAGCGGCAAGTTTTTAAAAAGTTCCTAGAATGTTCATATTGTGGGTGAAAGAACGTTTCAAGGTAACTGTAATAAAATAGTCTCAGAATGTTATAACAAAAACATTCTTGGAATGTTTTAACCCATTGTTACCATTGTTTTCATTCCTACAACATTCTTTTGGTGGGCATAATAATAATAATAATAATGTTAGTACATAATGTTTTTCTGACCGAATGTTCTCAAACCATTTCCCTATATTTTTATTTGGAAGGTTTTCATAAGGTTCCTATAACGTTTTTTTTTTCTGGGTACAGGAACACTTGTTCAATGTTCTTAAAACAATGGTAACCTAACACTTAAAACATAAAAAAAATAAAAAATTAGAAATTAAATAAAACAGTCATGATGTTAAATTTCTCCAGTTGTCAGTTTAGCTTTTTAAAATCTGGAAATTCTGAGGGTGTGAAAAGATTTGAGTGTTTTTACAACACCACCAGCTTAACATTAATATAACATAAAAAAATATGCATGTGTTCTTTGCGACAATAACATTTCCAGTTATTTTTAAACATTTATTATGAAGGTCAACAAATTTAAACAAACTCTGTAACTTTGTTTTGGATAACAGAAAATTACTTTGCACTGTACAATTTAAATGAAGAGACCATATACTTTTCTGATAAAACAGTTAACAATCCAACATCCTTCTGCACAGCTTCCCCACTTCAATGTTTGTCCTCAGATTGTGGAAGTGCACTAACCACTTACCAAAAAAAATTGCATTAAATAAACTGGAAATAAATAAACTGTTTTGATGGATTTAACAAATCGATAATTACTAACCTGAACTCCCTTGTGGGGTGCATACTTTAAAGTCTCTGCAACAAAGTGTTCAAAGACTTGCTGGGCCACTGCCACATGTATTCTGCAACATGCATCTTAGAAGAATAGAGAAAAAGAAAATAGTTATTATGCCCATGTTATGTGATGTGTTGTGATGCTTTTTTATGAAATAATATTTGAGGCTATGTAATAACTTAAATAACAAACATTTTCACTTGTGCACTTACCCTTTATGACTTCATATAAAAGCAGGTCTTCAAACCTTTTCCTCCCTTTTCGGCCTTTCAGGCTATAGGTTGCCCAAAGGGCATTGGTGTCAATTTTGCACATTATTCTACACATAGAATCCCCAGGACTTCGTCCACCCAAAAGGCTCAGGTAGTTAATCTGATAGATATAAAATAAGTTTACTGTAACCTAATGCAAATTCACATTGTTTTTGCCCATTAGAAGTTAATGTCAAAAAACATTAAAATAATATTTTGGAAACAGACTTCCATCATTAATTTTAAAAAACCTTTGTATGTGAAAACCTGGCAATACAGCTTTGACTTTTTTTATTATGAAACCTTTATTTACATACCATTTTATTTCTGTGGTTCTGGTCCCTCAGCTTCGCTGAAGCTGCTTTCAGTTGTACTGGTTTATCCAGTGGTGTTCCAAAGTCCCTCAAGATCTCAGGGTCCTGAGATGTAATACCATGGCCTATTTCAGAATTAATGGCCTCAAGACAAGAATTAATGACCTCAAGACGCTGCTCAATTTTGTCCAGTTTCATTAGGATTGACCTGACATATCTTGTCAGGCTTGAATCCTCTGTAATAGAAGATATAATTTTACGTTAATAGCATGCCGAAATGCTGAAAATTTTGTCACTGTCTGATTTAGTAAAGAAACAGTCAGATCTGCTTTATTTTATCTGTCACAGATCATTTAAAATACGCCAATATTGGTGCCAATGGAGCACCTCTGGATTGGTTCGGCTATACTTAGCTTGACTTTATAAATTCAGACTTACCCTGGTCAATGATTGCTGTTGGTGTCCTTGGGGACATTGCCAAATTCACACTTGGTGATGGTGAACTTTTATTTCAAAGAAGGAGTGCCACCCCGGTCACAACAATATGAAAGAACCTTTTATTAACACTGAGATGGCAAGTATTGATAATTCAGGACTTATCTGCACATCATTGACAATGTGCCTGAACGGCTCCTGTGTTGACGAACACAGAGCTGCCCGCATTTTATGTTATGTCTAGATACAGTTTAGTGATACAGTGAAATAATTATATGCAGGGGATGGGTTTCTGTCTCCTCCTACGTGTAGAAAAATGAAGAAGGAGAGGTCAGGCTCAGTCTGTATATAAATAGCCTACTGGCTGTAAGACAGCAAAGGAACATCCTTCCAGACCTTAGGAAAACACCCTGACTCAGGTAAGTGCCAGCAATTAATGTAATTTTAATTTAGTTAGGTGGCCCTGTCCCTGCAAGGTGCTGACCTAGCCATTGGGAGCAACTTGGGGTTCAGTGTCAAACTGCTGACCTTCTGGTTAGAGGACGGCCGCTATACCTCCTGAGCCACAGCCATCCCTGTACCTTGATGAAACAAGGGCAAATTTGTTAGGCTAGCTGCTGCTACAGTAATTAAGCCTCTGACTGTATGAAATGACTGTTTTCATTAGCACCCCACTGTTTCTGAGCACCTACCTAATGCTTTTAAAGACTAGTTGATGAAAATTGTTATTTATATATTGTTTTTTACTATTATTTCAGCCTTCACATCCACAGACACGATGGCAGGTTAGTGCACATCAAATACACAAAAGGCATAATAAGGAGATTTGTATTATTACAGTGCATGATTCAGTTTATCCAGTGTCTGAACATGCCAGCCCCAGTAATAGCACAAGACATGTTTCCTCTAAGTACTTAGAGCTC